GTGTATATACTTACAATGACAATAAATTATTATTATTTCCCATAGGAATGCATTGAAAACCGGTTAATCCGTTCCAATAGGAGCCTATTCAATACATTTCAATGGTGAAAAAAAATCACCAAAAATTCAAAAAGACTCAGAACGAAGCCAAATTACTTTAACGAAGGTTTTATTAGGTGCACTAATGATTCCAATAGCAAAAACAGGGCTGTCAAAAAAAAGTTACGCGAAACAGGGGACCTAAAACTGTCATCGTTAAGTGAAGCAAGGTCCCAAACATCGTTATGCAAAAATCTCCCATAGGAAACATCGTAAGGTGAGGCAGCAAAATTTCCAGCAAAGGCCATCATTATGCGAATTCATCGTTGAGCGAGGCACTCGTTAAGCGAGGCACCACTGTTTTCTGTCCCTTTCAGCTCCCTGTAGCAGTTGTCAGCTGAGATACTACAAATTTTGGCACTCCTGCTTTCCGGGCAATTACCTTGCTCCCCCCAAGTTGTAAGCTGTTTTTAAAATTCTTGGCCAAAGCTCTCTGATACTCTGCAAATAATGAACACTCAGAGCTTGTAAAAGTTTCTTGTTTAGACTACAACTCCCAGAAGCCCACAGTGGTTATGGCCCCTGATTATTTATTTATTTATTTATTTATTTATTTATTCATTCATTCATTCATTCATTCATTCATTCATTCATTCATTCATTTATTTATTTATTTATTTATTTATTTAAATAGCAAAACAAAAGAAATCAGTAGTTGACTGGAGGGAAGGCCTGGATGTACATCCATGTTTTCAGCTGGCATTTGAAAGTACCCAGCGTAGGGGCCTTGCGAATCTCTGGAAGAAGGTTGTTCCAAAGGCGAGGAGCCACCGCCGAGAAGGCCCGGCTTCGAGTCTTTTCCCTCCGGGCCTCCTTCAGCGTCAGGCTCCTCAGCCTCACCTCCTGACTTGTGCGGGTGATCCAAGTAGATCTTGGTGGGAGCAGGCGCTCCACCAAGTATCGAGGTCCTAAACCGTTTACGGCCTTATAGGTAAGTATTAGAACTTTGAATTCAATGCAGAAACGGATGGGCAGCCAGTGCAGCATGGCCAGAACAGGAGAAATATGTTGGTGTTTTCTCACTCCAGTAAGGAGTCTGGCCGCTGCATTCTGCACCACTTGAAGTTTCCGCATCAGCCTCAAAAGCAGCCCCACATAGAGCACGTTACAGTGGTCTAATCTTGATCATTCTAGTAGTTGAAGTGTAAAAGGTTTCTGAGCTCTGTAATACAACACCCATATAGAGAGAACATGTTTTTTTTCCTAGAACAGTGCCTTAGTCATTGATTTACTTTTCACGTCTTCTTGACTGAACAAGGAAAACATATTATATTTCTTCTGGGGGGATTAACCCAATTTTTATAATTCAAATTACTTGAATTCTACCTTCATTTGCTGATCTGGCGTGAAGACACTTCTATTTTCAGCGCAGCATACCATTCTGTCTGAAGTATAACATCATTTTAGGTCTATGGCATTCCTGATTCAGGAAAACATGTAATATATGATATCTAAGCTTACACTGGCTGAATTTTACTGTCATATTATATTGCAGGCTCATAATTCACTTGATATTTGCTCATTGGTCACTGTATGAGACCTAATGTATGATTTCAGCCCTTCAGTGATGTATAAAGGAAACAGGGATGCATAAATCCCACCAAAGTATAAAGTGTCCATAACCTGATCCTCTCCTTGTTTACAGAAATTCAGCGGGTCATCTCCAATTAAGAGTGCATATGATTGCTTAGAAGTCTAGAGACTAGCCCAAACAAAGAGACTAACCCAAGCAAACCCAAGAGTGACCAAACTCTTATTAATGTCTATTGCAAGCAATGTGATGTGTTCTTTAACTCCCTCACTGAAACCACTGAATATTGAAAAACTGTCTCTAGGCCAGTCCAGTCCACATGTCCAAATGCCTTTTGGCTGCAGCTGACAGAAGGTTAGGAATGAATGGATGGATAGGTAGTGCCAGGTTCAAAAGGTGCTAGTGCTCATCTTACAGACCACACTGCAGGGAACTGTAGTTCCTTCATCCTTGCCACTAATGTATAGAGTAGCTTTTCATGTACATTGGCAGCATCTTGTTCATGAGCTGCATATGCCTTCCAGGGACATGCCACAGTACAAACCTCATTCTCTGCCAGTAGCAACATTAACAAGGTGGCAAGAGCAGTCATGCTAAACTGTTGGCAGCTGGTGCATCATCCATTTATATTCCATGTTGATCTGGAATTTGCTCATATAACATACTAAAGGTTGGGGGAATCAAATCTTATCTTTGTCTTCATTTGAATTCTGTACACAATTATCTTTTTTGTTCCTTGATCACAGGAGGCAAGGGTCCACAGATACTAGTTTAACTTACTGAGCTTACTGTGTATGGCATCACTTGCAACACGGCCCTGTAACCAACCCAAGGCCTCAGAGAAAGGCCAGGTTTTCTCTAATTTGCACTGTGGCTTAGAGAAAAGAAGAAAATCCCAGGTTGTTTGTATTTTAGGTGAAGTAAAATTAGATTCATCCTTTCCTTGATTCCTCTGAGACAAACAGAGGGCTTGAGAATACAGTGGTGCCTCGCATAACGATGTTAATTGGTTCCATTAAAACATCATTATGTGAAAACATTGTTAAGCGAAACACCATTTCCCATAGGAATGCATTGAAAACTGGTTAATCCGTTCCAATAGGAGCCTATTCAATACATTTCAATGGTGAAAAAAAAATCACCAAAAATTCAAAAAGACTCAGAACGAAGCCAAATTACTTTAACGAAGGTTTTATTAGGTGCACTAACGATTCCAAGCATTTTAAACATTTTTAAACATTTTAGAATATTTTTAAAATAGCAAAAACAGGGCTGTCAAAAAAAAGTTACGCGAAACAGGGGACCTAAAACTGTCATCGTTAAGTGAAGCAAGGTCCCAAACATCGTTATGCAAAAATCTCCCATAGGAAACATCGTAAGGTGAGGCAGCAAAATTTCCAGCAAAGGCCATCATTATGCGAATTCATCGTTGAGCGAGGCACTCGTTAAGCGAGGCACCACTGTTTTCTGTCCCTTTCAGCTCCCTGTAGCAGTTGTCAGCTGAGATACTACAAATTTTGGCACTCCTGCTTTCCGGGCAATTACCTTGCTCCCCCCAAGTTGTAAGCTGTTTTTAAAATTCTTGGCCAAAGCTCTCTGATACTCTGCAAATAATGAACACTCAGAGCTTGTAAAAGTTTCTTGTTTAGACTACAACTCCCAGAAGCCCACAGTGGTTATGGCCCCTGATTATTTATTTATTTATTTATTTATTTATTTATTCATTCATTCATTCATTCATTCATTCATTCATTCATTCATTCATTTATTTATTTATTTATTTATTTATTTA